GTGGCGGGAGCGCAAGGACAGCTTGTTCTGCTCAGGGGAAGGAAGTTGCAGATCATTTAATGGAAGCTCCACAGAAAAAGGCAGGGAAAACTCTGTCTCCATCTGACAGTTTCAACAATAGTTCTGCCATGATTCACTGCTTTAGACATCTTTTTGGGCCTCAGTTTTCTTCTCTGTTAGATGGACACGGTAATATTGTTATGCCTCTTGCTGGGCTGTCTTGAGCCTTTTTCCACTCCACAACTGTGGAGTGCTGGGGACACTGCAGGGACAAAGTGGTTACCTTCCTCATGCACCTTGTATCACAGGGAATCCCCAAGATGATGTGTTTAGAGTAGGTGCCCTGCTTTGCTGGCAGAGTCATCAAGCTTGTATGAATTCACCCTTTATACTTGAGAATGGTGGCAATTTAAGTAAGGCAGGCGAGCCCCGCCTTCCCTCTTGGTTTTCACCTCTGCACCCCACGCCCTCCCTCGGAGCCTGAGCCTGAGGAGGAGCCGCCCACTGGCTGCTGTACTCTTCCCCACGTGCCTTCCTGTAGCCTCGGTCCACGGCTTCCTGCCGGTCCAGTGCTGGGCTCGAAGAAACCAGCTCCAGCTCTGGCTTTGCAGAAATACAAGTTAGATGGAGAGGCAGATGGGGGTGCAGCCGCCAGCAGAGCCGGGGTCCTCGATGAGAGTGCTGGGGTGGAAGAGTTGGGATTGTCAGGGAAAGCCTCCCCATTTTATTTCAGAACCGGGCCTTGAAGGAGGCTATTACTGAGTCAGGTAGAGAAGGCAGGGAGGGCATTCCTGGCTAAGGGAATGGCCTTTGCAAACAAAGGTTCAGGGAGAAAAGCTTGGGCTGGGAGTGGCTGCAGTGGGATGGCGCCTGGGGAAGTTCCCCGCTTAGGGAGCCCTGGCAGGGTTTGAAGTGTGGCCAGTGCTGTATTTTGGAAGGCTCTCTCCAGCTGCAGTGTGGAGGAACTGGGGGCAGGAAGCAGAGAGAGGAGGGGGAAGGAGAAGAGGGGATGGCTGATTCTGCCCAGGCCTAAACTGTCCCCGCTCACGTCCAGCCACCATGCCAGAGATGGTCACCAGAGGGCGTTGTGTGTCAGCAAGCCACGGAGGTCCCTGCCGGTGTCAGGGTGGTGTGCCGACACAGCTGTGCTCATGGACTGAGTCCGTGAATGTGCCTACACCGTCTGCCCATTCCACGTGTGTGTTCACACTTGTGCACTCTGCTGTGTTCGTGTGCACATATGTATTTGGGCTCCATGGACTTACAACGGTGTGAAAGGGGGCTTGTGGGGTTTTGATCGTGAAGGTGGGTGTGTTGGAGATGTGCCAGAGGTACATATAGGTGAGAACAGCCCTCCCACCATCTCCCACTACTCCAGCCACAGTTATTCCACTAGAAGCCACCTACCTCAGGGCCTTTGCACATGCTGTTCCCTCTGCCTTCATGCTCTTCCACCACATATCTTCTTGACTCCTTCCTCACCTCCCCAGCTCTGTGCTTAAGTCACCTTCCGTGAGCCTTTTCTTGACCTCCATCTTTAAAAGTATAGTCCCCACACCTAGACACACTCCCAGTCCCCATCCATCCTTTGTCCCATAGCACTTACCCTCTGACAGAGTATAATGATGTAACCTACACATTTTGTTTGCCTGGCTTGTCCACCAGACCATCATTTCCCTGAGGGTGTTGTGTCTGTCTTGTTCAGTCTTGCACTCTCGGTGCCAGGTACACAGTAAGTGCTCAACAAATAGTTGTTGAATGAATGAATGAATGAATGAGCTTCCCCAATCCTGGGTTCTGACCATCCTCTCTTTCCAGTCCTCTGTCACCCCGGCTCCCTCCCACCTCTGCTCACACCCACATCCAAACTTTGACCACACCCTCTTCCTCCTTGTGTCTCAGTTTCCCCGAGTCTGCAGAGAGGGGTGTTAACGGACGTTCCTTCTCAGTGTCCGGGCAAGCTGGGGGGACCCCATCAAACTCCCCTTCTGGTTTCTGAGAGATGATGGAGTTGCTCAGCTGTCCCATGCTCCAGAGAGGCAGAAGGTGGCCAGCAGATGCTGCCGCATCTCGCTCGGAGAAGAGAGGCTCCGGGGTGGGGCTTCCTCCCCGGGCAGCAAGGCAGCCTTGCATCCCAGCCTGGCCCTTACAGGGTCCCTTTCGCACCTCCAGCCCTTTGCAGGGAGACCCTCTCTGCTTTTCTATTGACCAGCTCCTACTGATTCTTCAAGGGCCAGTCTCAAAGTCACTTCCTCTGAGGAGCCTTCCCTGAGCTCATGCAGGTGGTGTCTGGTTCCTTCCTGAGGCTCTTGCTCATGAAGCTATTTATAGCACCCCACATGGAGTTTTGTGATTCTTGGGCTGTCAGGCTCCCTGCCTAACCGTCAACTCCTCCAACTGAAGGTCCTTGTCTGAGTCACGGGGGTGCCTGGGAGGCTGGCACGAGACTAGAGTCACTCCATCGATGTCTGTGGCATGCTTTTCATGCTTCCTTTGTTTATTCCTCACATATTTACGAGGCACCTACTATGCACCAGGCCCCGGGCTGTGTATCAGGACTGCAGCAGGGACTGAGCTGGCAAGATTCCTGCCTGGGAAGGACTGACGGTGTAGAGGGAGAGCTGGATAAAAAAAACCAGAACAGATAGGAAAGGCATCGGTGGCATGAGTTCTGGGCAGAGAATTAAAACTGATTTGGGGGGGCGCCTGGGTGGCTCAGTGGGTTAAAGCCTCTGCCTTCAGCTCAGGTCCTGATCCCAGGGTCCTGGGATCGAGCCCCGCATCGGGCTCTCTGCTCAGCGGGGAGCCTGCTTCCCTTCCTCTTTCTCTGCCTACCTCTCTGCCTACTTGTGATCTCTGTCTGTCAAATAAATAAATAAAATCTTTAAAAAAAAAAACAAAACTGATTTGGGGACATGACCAGGAAGGCCTTTTAGAGGAGTTCATTTAAGTGGAGGCCTGCAGGCTGGAAGGGAACCGCCACAGGAATCCTGGGAGGAAAGGGGTTCCAGGCAGAGGAAACAGTGAGGGTGGAGGGCCCGAGGCAGGATGGGTATTGACACTGTTCAAGGGGCAGCACTGAGACCCTCAAACATAGCAAGGAATGGAGAGGGAGAGGGGGCGTGTGGAAGTGTGGAAGTCCGAGCAGATGGCAGGAGTCTGAGACTAGAAAACCTGCAGGACCAGGATTACATTCCTGGTTGGGAGGTAGCTGCTACTGGGTGCCCATTTTACAGATGGATAAGCAGCAGGTCCTGAGGTGAAATGACTAGCCCATGGTCACATGCCCCATCGGGAACAGAGCACTCCATCCACCCAGGAGTGGTAAGGCTGAGATGGCTTCCTGGAGGAGGTGGCCTGCAGGGTATTTGCAAATACTCCCTGGGCATTTGGGAAGTGCCAGGCCCTAAGCTAGGGACTCCCAAGCCCGAGCTCAGGAGCTAATTTCAGAGAGGCCTCGCTGTCCCCATGGGACAGGTCAATAAACTGAGGCATGCAGCTGCTCCATGACTTCTAGTAAGTGGCAGAGCTGGCATTTGAACCCATACCTGTCTGAGTCCATAGATCATGACTTTCCACCCACTGCTTGGAAAGGGTGAGCCAGAGACGCAGGAAGAGAAAAATGATAATATAAATAACATATCCCCCTTTCTTATCTCATCAGGCCCTCTCCATCATTGCGTGGGTGGGGCCCTGCAGGGATCACCCCTTTTTACAAATGGGCAAGCAGAGGTCAGCACCCCGCTCCAAGCATTTCTAGCAGGAGGTGGAATCTGCTTCCCTCATGTGAGGTCCCTGGCAGACAGCACACTCATGCCTGCCCAGAGGCGAAGGGTTGACCCCTTGACCTTTGCCAGGCCCTTCCCGCCCTCCCTAGCCTGCAGCTTTCCATCTGAGTCACCTGATCTTGGGGCCAGATTGGTCAGTGGCTCCTAAAATCCCCCTAGCTCCACGTGGGAGCAGAAAAGAGGACTGGCCTATGTGGCCATTATATACTTTAGACAGTCTATGTACACAGATGGAGGCCTCAAGAGCAGAGAAGATAACCAACGGTCCACCTTACAGCCTCCAAGACTCAGTTTCACCGTGTGGGGAAGGAGAGGCAGTAAAGACACCCACCACCACGAACAGCCACGTTTCCTGACGTCTTACTAGGAGCCACAAAGCTCACCACCGTGACCCACCGGTTCCTGGTGCCCTACACATGGTGGAGGGAGTTCAGTGGATGTTGCAGAGCAGGGAACAAATGTGCGCACGCCGGGCATTGTGCTTAAGGCTTGTTCAACGTTTGGTCAGCCAGGATGGACCATCTGCTAAAGCCCGGGTCCCGACCTCTTGCACAGCGCCGGGAGGCAGGGCTGTCACGGTCGCTTTTTCACAGAGGCGAAAACTGAGGCTCAGGGGTCACCAGACTTGCCCAAGGTCACCGCTTCTGGAAAGGAGCCACGTAGAGATCTGAACCCAGGTCTCGGCCCGGGGCCGCACTGTAACCCCTCCACAGGACCCCGCCTTCCCGCTCCCGCCACCCCAGGATACTTGGGGTTTTCCCAGGTTACGCACTCCAGGCGGGCGCACGGAGCGCATTGGAGCGGGGGGTGGGGGGGGGGGGGGGGGCGCCGCGGGGCTGGGGGAGCGCGGGGGCGGGGCCTAGTGCCTGACAGGCGCGAGGAGGGCTCCGCGAGTCCCGGGCAGTGGGAGGGGCTTGCGTCTGGACTGGCGGCGGGAGGGACCCGGCTCTGGCCTGGAGGGGACCGAGCCGGAGTGGGCCCGGGTTTCCCGGGTGGAAGGCGGGGCTTGACAGACAGGGGAGGAGCCGGATTTGGGGCCAGCAGGGGCGAGGCTTGTGCTTGACAGGCAGGGCAGGTCGGTGTTTGATAGGCAGGGGACGGGCCCCGGAGACGGACGGGCCAGTCGGCGTGCAGGGGCGGGGCTTACGTCGGCGCCGTCCGGCCGGGGCCCCCGCGGCGCTGCCCAGTCTGGCTCCGGCACCGCCCGTCCTGGACGCGTCTTTGCCGCCGCCGCCGCCGCCTCAGCTCCGCAGCCGCGCCCGGGCCCCCTGCCCGCAGCCATGAGCGCTCTCCGCCCTGGTAGAGCCCGCCGACCTCTAGATTAGTTCTGCCGCCGCCCCTGGACCCGCCTTCACCATGGAATCGCCCGCCTCCAGTCAGCCCGCCAGCATGCCCCAGACCAAAGGTAGGAACGCCTGATAGGGAGCGCAGCTTGATCCCCCACCACCCACCGCCCCGCGCCCCTTCGGGCCCGGACTGCGGACCCCGACTTCGGTCTGTGTGATCCCATTCCAGCCCGTCCCGGACGGAGGCAGCATTCCGGTCCAGAATCCTTCCCTATTTGGGTCTCCGTCTCAGCCTAGACCTCACCTGGACCCCAGTTTAGGCCTTGGAACTGCTCTCGGGCCCGCATTCAGGCTAGGATCTCGTTGTGATGACCCCGCTTCAGATCAGAAACCTCATTCTGACCTCCTCATTTAGGCCTTAACTGCCCCTAGAACAGGAACTCTCCCAACCTGGGTCCCTCAGTTGGATCCAGGTGGGATTCACTCTTATCTGCACCCCGCCCCCACTTCCACTCCCTGGTCCCAGGGCTGTATCCACTCTGGGATTTAAAGGACTCCGCATCTGAACCCCAGCAGTGCTGCCCTCCTGGGGAATCTCACTGTAACCCCCTCCTCCCCTCCATGTGGGTGCCCTGGCTATACTCCAGCTAAGAACTGGCTCCTCTCCCCCAACTCTGTCCATCCTTGTAGGCCCCTCCATTGCTCCTTCCCTGGCGGCCCTGCGGCCCTGCAGCCGGGTCCCCCAGGAACCTCTCTTGGCCTCCCACCCCACCCTAACACACGGCCCCCCTCTCCATCAGCTCCTTGTCTTGACTTGCAAGCTTCTCTCTGCACTTGGAGAGCTCACCGCCTTTTGCTCCCCTGTATCTCCAGGGTTGACCCGTACTGGGCTTGTCCCTGCTGCCTCTGGGTTCTGGGCCAGCCGCTAGGCCAGGGTGCTGGCTGTGCAATGGGCTTACTCTTGTCTTCTCCAAGTAGCCGGCCTTCCTGGAAATTTTTGTGAGGTGGCGGCTGCGGCGGCAAGACAGCAGGATTTGTCATGCGGGGCGGGGGTGGGGGGGTGAAACTTGGAGGGTGAAAGGGGGATTTTGTGTGTGTGTGTGTGTGTGTGTGTGTGCGGGCGCGCACGGAAGAGGAAAGGATGTTTTTGGCATGTTCAAGCCTCAGCAGGCTAGGCTGTGTATTTCCAGACCGGACATAGCTGTAATGAATGGGCTGCCTCCTTGCTCTCCAAACCTGCTGCTGCCTCACGCTGGCAGCAGGAGTATCTCTGGACCTCAGTTTCCTTGTCTGTAAAATAGGAGTAATCACACACACCTTGTGTGGTTTTCTGGGTATGATATGAGGCAGCAAATCCTGAAGAGCTTCCAGCAGGCATGGGTGAGGAGGGGAGGAGCGCAGCAGGGCGCCTGGCACACAGTAGGTGCTGAGGCAGGCACAGTTGCCCACACCTTGTTACCGTTTTCCTTGTTGGGAAGGCCTCAGCATGTGGGGTCAAGGCCTTGCCTCTGTCTGGGTTGCAGCTGCATAGTGAGGTGGAGAAAGGTAACAGATGTCACTCAGTGGGCCTCTGCTCAGGAGCTGATCCTACCTCTCTTTCTCTGGAGGGACCCAGGCACCAGGAGGGCCTGTGGGGTCCTGGGGAGGGTGTGGGTCCATCTCTGCCCCTGCGGCCAGCAGCTGCGGTGGCTGGGGGCCAGAGCCTGGCCGGCCCGGTGGGCAGGGTAATTACGTCTTACGTAAGTGGGAGGCCAGATCCCTGACCATTGCCCAACCACTGTGAGTAACTCAGGAGGCACCCAAGCGGGGAGGTGGCTGGGGAGGGACTTGCACTGCTCAGACCTCGTGGAGCTTGGGAGCTGGGAAATCATATGCTTCTCCATTCTGGAGGACCAGGAAATCAGACACTTCTTTTCTCTAGCTTGAGGTCTGTGCCTGGCTTGGTCAGTGCTGTGGGACTTAGGGCAGGTCCCTCAGCTTCCCTGGGCCACAGTGTTTTCACGGGCAGAAGGAAGAGGATGGAAGCGATGTTTGTCTTCGAATGCTCTTTCAGCTTTTCCAGGCAGGCAGTACCTCACCCCAATAAAAGTTGGAGTTGTAGAGTTGTGAAGGGAGAGGGGTCCTAGGTGTGAAGGGAAAAGGGAATTTGGGGAGGCACTGTTTGATTCCCATGTGCTGTGTGACTTGAGTCCTGGTGTTGCCCTCTCTGAGCCTCTCTGCAGAGAGAGAACCAAGGTGAATTTCCAGTTTGTGGTTCCAGGTAAGAGATGGTGCTGGTGGGTTAGATGGAGGTTCAGGAGCCTCTGCAAGGCTCAGGGACCTCGTCTGCCTCTTTGGGGTCTGTGGAAGGATATGGTGAGGAGCCATAATACCCTCTCACCCAAATCCTGAGACTTGTCACTTATCAAGCTTTTTTTCATGTTCCATGTTCTCTCCCATTCATTCCTCCCAGCCCCATTTATAGATGTGGAAGTTGAGGCTCAGAGGTGTTAGTGCCTTGCCTAGGGCTCATACAGTTGTGACAGGTGCAGCTAGGGCTCTGTCCAGGACTGTATTTCTTCAAAGGTCTCCCCAGTGCTCCTTTATGTTCCATTCCGTGCTGAGCTCGTGGGACCCACCCTCCCCGCACCCCATCATCCTAGCTGTTGGGACGCTCTGTTATGCCTTGAATATGGGTCCGCTCCAGGGCTAGCCTGACCTGGAGCAGGGCCTGAGCTGGAGGTGATGCCTCTTGTGTGCACAGCCCTTTACAGTGGGGACATTTTATATTCACTCAGCCTGACCCATCTGACAGATGAAAAACGGGCCAGACAGGGGGAGTGGCTGGATTGAGTCCACAGAGCTGGGATTCTCAGCAGGGCCCTCCCCATCCTGGGTACAGGGCCTTCCAGCATTGTGCTCTTCTCCACCTTCTCCCAGGAATCTGAACAAAACAGGGCGTGGTTGGTACTTGACCTTAAGGAGATTTACCTTTGAGCTTCAGCTCTGAGCTTCCTGCCTCGCAGCTGGTGTCCTGCTCTGTGCTCCCTGCCACAGGCCTGGGGAGTTTTCCATGAGTCCATGAGGCCCCAGGTCCCTCAGCCGTGCAGGTTTCCCCCAGCCTCCTTGCCCACATGCTGCCTTTGGCTGGAGTCAGAGGCCAACGGCAGCTGGCGCTGGGGCCAGTGGTCAGGGGCACATTTGCTTGGCGTGGTTTGGGTCTGCTGCTTCAAGCCACATGTGTCCTTGGGGGTGCCGTATGCATCCTGTCACCGCTCGCACTGCACTGTGAGTGCCGCCCATGCAAGCGCGTCATGGTTGATCTTCGCATGGTTCCCGGCTGCCCAGTGGGGACACTGAGGCTTCAGGAGCACTGTCTGTGTCCTGGCCCGGCCTGCCGTGGCCACTGTCCCCCCCCTCAACCCCCTGTCCAGTCCCGTTCCTGCTGTCGGAAAGACTGGAGGGTGACACCTTGGGGACTTCCCCCACCCCTGGTGTGACGCACAGGAAACTCTCTATCAGCCAGCCCATGGCTCCAGGCCTGAAAGGAGCAAAGTTCTCAGTTGCCTGTGTGGGGAGAAGGCTGGGGCAGCGGGAGGCTTCCGGTGGGTGAGTCAGCGGGCACTGGGTGCTGACTCACCCGCCGGGCATGCCAGCCCAACTGGCTGCTGCTTAAAGGGGCGATGACTGCTGGCTGGTGGGTTGGGAGGGGGGCTGTGAGCCCCAGCCTTGCAGGTCAGCTTCGAGTCCTCAGATGGGCATCAGAGGTGGCCCCTTCCTGGACCTCAGACTAGGTTGGGACCTTTGGGCAGGCCCTCCTGGCTCTGCTCCCGCCCCGCCCAGGAACTTCCTCTGTTAGGCAAGAGCCCTGCTTCCTCTTGCTCACAGAACAGAAGCAGGTGGCGGTGGCCATGCACCGCCCTTGCCCAGGGAATCCTCTGGTCTGCTGGGGGCTCTGGGAGGCTGGGGAGGAGAGGTGGTATGGGGTCGGCCTGAGCTCCTGGGGTGGAGAGGTGACCGTGGTCCAATGTCAGGGCAGGCTCTTTTGCTGTGTGATGTTGGCAAAGTTACATCCACTGCGCCCTGTGAATGACTGCAGTGCCCTGGGCATGGCCCACCTATCCCATGAGAGGCCTCGGCTTCCTCATCTGCAGACTGGGAATAGGGACTTTTCCTGCCTGTCTGGCTGGCAGCCACAAGGATGGTTGCAGACAGCCTCCTTCCAGTCTTGCTAAGTGTTAGGTAGTGGGCCGGCTAGACTGGCCTCAGTCCCCAAAGAACCTCAGCTAGACAGGAAGGAGGTGCAGAGCTTGGGCTCAGGGAGTAGACAGGCCTGTGTTCAAATTTTGACTCACTTCACCGCTTCCTGACTTCCTCTTGTGCCCTCTCTGACCTTCGGTCTCCTTTTCTGTAACGTGGGAGTGAACACTCCTCCCTTGCAGGATGGTGGTAGAGATTGGAGACAGTGTCTGTCTAATGTGTGGCATCTGTTATTATGTTCTTATTGCTATGGTCATGGCTGGTATTTGGCGATGGGTGAGTACATAGAACCCTGGACTCTCGAGATAGGCTCGTAAGTCCTGTGACACGAGGACTCTGATGCTGGCTGCAGGGTCCTGTAATGCCAGCTACAAGGTACCGGGCTCTTTCCCCACTGGTCCACAGCTGGAGCTGGGGCCTCCCATTGCCTCTTGGGCCTTCCTGGGGAGGGCCTGTGGTGAGCAGAGGGGACTGGGGCAGGCCTCTTTGCAGGTCTGCTCTCCTGAGCACAGGGAAGTGTGGGGTGGGGAATCAGGAGGACAGGCCGGCCCCTCAGTTGGTAGAACTTCACGTGCCAGGTACGGTGCTGGCTGTGGGGATATTGGGGTGAGCGAGGAGCACCCTGACTCTCAAAGAGCTCTGCCTAAGGAACAGGAAGAGGCCTTGGAATCCAGATCCAAGGCCAGGTGTGTCCGTGGATGGGGATCAGTGTGAGAGGGAGCAGTTGGGCCCTGGGGCCAGGCTGGGTGCAGGGCCTTGGGGCCCTGCAGAGTATTGTCAGGGTCTCAGGAGGGGTGCTTTGTGTCCCTGTTTGTCCCAGAGGAAGTACTCTGGGGGGTGGCACAGAAGACGCCGTGCAAAGAGTCCTACCCTGGCCAGA